GTGGATGGTGATGACTAGCTGCCTTCCCTCTAGTCTTACACTGCTAAATTAGGGATGGCTAGTGTAGATAGCCCTCGTGTAGCTTTGCACGACATTCAAAAACAAACAAACAAACAATAATCTCATTTTATGATTTAAGGGTTAGGAGCTGAGTGCTTGAACCCACAACGCCTCAACTCCTACTGCCTTTCACTGTCTGCAGCCAGTTATGGGAAGGCAGTTACCCTTAATATTTAGATGCAACCTTAAAGCAAAAATAAACCGCCCTAAATTTCTACAATATAAAATTCCTAACCGCCACCTCATTTTATGAGATGTACAAAAAAGCAAAAATATTCTTGCAGTAGAAATATACTAACTGTAACAAATTTGTTATTATATATATTTATTTGAATATCAACGTTTGTTTTGATTAAGTTTATATTTTAAAACATGCGTAGCTTATAGTGTTAAATATGTATTGCGAAACTCCCGCCTATTCTACAAAGTCGTAGAAGATTCTCGAGAGTAAGAATCAACAATATATGTATATAATTAAACATTTAAATGTAGCTCAGTATTGTTACATAAGACTCAATTTTATAGAAAACCTTCCCACGGATATGAATATAACCGACATGACGTGCCAAGTGGATTCACACCAGACATTAATAATTTTACGAAGACATTATATAAATTCAACAGTGGAAAACTCAGCGTGTGTGGCAAAGGACAAAGCTAGTTAGCTTCCCGTTAAATGAAATATATCTGCGTTAACCCGTAACCTATTCGCTTTGAGCCATTACTTACGAAAATTAGAAAGACACGAGATAAGTTCTTGGCAAACAATCCATAGTTACACTATAGGTGTCGTACACTTGTGATTGATCTTTCAATTCACTCATGTTCTAAGAAAAATATCTACTGCACTCACGTCTGCATTAAACACCTCAACATTAATAGTGATTCTCGAACTTCGTTCTATTATCTGAGCTCCAAATTAAATATTTTTTATATATCTATTCTGTTATAAACAGCAAATTTAGTTCTCGGAATATGATTTCTGTGTCACTTAACAATCAGCTAGCAGTCTGGCATGATATGAGATAACCTAGTCGTTCTAAAATTTGCATGTTACAATGTGGTTTTAGGCTCGAAAAAGGATGAGCAGTTCAGATGAGCAGCAGGTGACAAGCTCAGTGGTTGCTCCGAATGGCGTCTATTCCTTATGTTAATACCAGCTGCCTTATAAGTGGTATAACAGATTTTATTTCCAGAGATTACCAACGACCTTCTGGCTGTAAAATGTCCTATTGATTTCCCATATTTTTCTTTACCGACCTACAATATATGGTGGTTTTTTTACAGCAGCTTCAATCCCTCTGAATGTTGATGAACAACTTCCATGATATCATTCCAGTAGAATTGTACTGGTTTTGAAAAAGGGGCTTCTTTCGTGAGACTGTCAACTTCGTCATTTATCTTTATCCCTACATGGACTAGCATATATATTTAGGTGATGATCGTAGCATGTCGTCGATTTTTTTTTATAATCCATACAGGGACCAACATCTCTAAATATTATGTTGTATTGTCTGTGAATCAGTTGTAAACATTATATTTATGGCATTATCTACTTACGGTTTGTCGTTTTCAGCAATCCAGAAAAGAGTTTGCTCCATGGGTTTGTTTTTAATTAAGCACAAAGTACAAAGCTATACAATGTTCTGTCTATGCTCTGCCCACCACGGGTATCGAAATCCGGATTCTAGCGTTGTAAGTCCGCAGACATACTGCTGTGTCACTGGGGAGCTGCTTTATGGTTTCCAGCCTAATCCTTGTGCTGATTGTGGGAATCTTGAGTACTTCACCAATCATATGCATGCCCAACAAGTTCTCTTGCTATCTTTGGTGTAGCAACCAACTGTGGCCATTGTGTTTCTCCATAATAGTCTTTAAATAGCTGTCTGGCAGGCTATTTACGCCTCACACTAAGCCCAATCTCTACAGTTTCTTTTTAGGCTGAATTCCTTAGATCCCAGTAGTTTAAAATGTTTATATCACATGGAGGTATCTGAGATCTGATGATATTTCTCGGAACATGTTTCAAGCAATCCCCTGCTTGGGTGGTGTTTGAGGTGTTTTCATGGAGCTGGAATGTCTCAGTTGAAAAGGATAATAACTCACTGATTGAAGGCATGGTTTTTACACAAGCAATAAATTTGCTTGTAAATACTGTTGGCATCCCGTGATGCTGCCAAAATCTGTGAGGTATAATAAGGATTTGAACAGGGATGCTAAACTTTCAGATATGGTACCTGTTAACCAACTGCATTGATACTTCAACACTAACTTCAACAGGTTGGCTTCTTTAAACTTTTAAAAGGTGCTAAGAATCTCGTCCAAACTGAATGTAGTTATAGCTCAATTTGGGATTGTTCTATGCTCTTTTATGCTCGTCATTTTTCACGTATTCTGAAGTGTAGCATGAATAATTTGAAAATATTTTAAAGATATATTTAAATTATAGATGATAATTAAAAAAATTATAGATTATTATTAGACCACCCGTGATCCGTTGGGTCACCTACTATTCAGAGGTTATGAAGAATTCAAGCTAATTTCAATATTGCACCGAAATGAAGGTTTATTTTGAGATAATTTAATGAAATATTTCAATCCATTCGTGTTATTCATAATTCAAGGAAATATATTTGATTGTTGATTGGGAATAAAAAAAAAGTGAAGTCAGAGTTTTCAGGTATTGTAATGAATTAGTTCAATATGATGTGGTCTTTCCTCTTAAACCTTCTGCAAATAAGAAACAGTAACATTTTATTTTTTCTTCGAATTACTTACCATAACCAAGGCACATTAGTGAGAAATTCTTCAAGATCTTGTTTTTGCCATCTTACGCCTTTTAATGAAGATGAGAACATTGACAGGGAGTTAGATTTGAACGAAGAAGTTTCGTAAAGAGCGCGAATGGCAATGTGATGTAAAATTTCATAAAAGTGACCTGAAAAACGGCGTTAACTCGGTAACCCGTGGCCCGATATTAACGAAACTTATTTCATTCTGTTCCTATTCTCATTTCATAACAAATATGGTGCTATTAGAGGCCGTTTTTGCTGTATTTAATTACAGACAAGCAAACAAACAAACAAACAATCTCATAGTTTTAGTAGTATATAGATAATTGTATAATAATGCTAATCTCATTGTGTGCGTGCTTTCGTAACATTATTATGAAATAGTTATAAAAATGTTAAGTTTTATGAGTGTTTCAATCATAATAATGTATGTTGGGGGTTTGAGAACGTGGATTTTATACAGCAAAATTATTATTTTATTCATTACGCTTGATGTGTTAATATTACATATATATATATGTTTTAAGAATAAATTATGTATCATAAACTTTGTTGGGAGGCTTCTTAGTTGTCTATGGTGTGACTTTTAAATTACTATGGAGTCATCTCATTTCCCTTGTGCAGTAAATTACCACCTAAACTTTTCTATACATTTTTATCATAAAAACATGACGATATTAACATGACTATCATATCAAAGAAAATATCAGCTGTTACAAAATAGGGCCCTTAAGAATATGCTGATACACATTTTACTATGTCTACATTAGAGCTTGTATCCTAGTTTTATATCTTAATTCTTTATGAGCGACAACTTTGTTTTTGGTCTAGTTACTTAAAATTTTAATAACTCATCCAAGGTAAGAAGACGTTGTAAAGGTAAAGCTACAGTTAAAGTTGTAAAGCTAAAGGTACAGGTAAAGCTACATGTTTAAACTACTACAAACCTTTATACAATGGCACAATTTAATTTAACGTACTTAATAATTTCGAAATATTGATAGATCTTTGTAGTTTTTTTAAACTAATAATATTATACTCATTACTTAACGCATCCATCTGTATATAAAACAAAATAAAATATTGTTTGTTGGATTTCGCTCAAAACTACACGCGGACTATCTGCGCTAGCCATCCTTGATTTTGAAGCGATGGACTAGAAGTAAAACAACTAGTTAACAGCGTCCACAATCAAACTCTTGCTTGTCAGACCGAGTAGTAAGATTTGGCCATCATTATTAAAACGTACTCACGACCCCAAAATGCGGAGTGTAATTTTTTGGGGGTAGTCAATGAACACGAACCACGGAACCCAAGCTCAACAGTCTGGCAAGCCAACCTCTAGGCAACTCTCGACCAAATAAGATATAAGATGCTGTAATGATACTTTCGTTTATATTATTACAGTTTAGGACCGCTTTCGCAGCTAGATTACTATTATCCAACCAATCTACTTAACATACATCCACTTGTCATTTGGCAAATTTTATACAAACCAACAATGTAAAATCATAAAGACATTCTATGTGTGTGTACGTGTATTAAATATATAAAAACCAACAATGTAAAATCATAAAGACATTCTATGCGTGTGTACGTGTAAAAAAATTCATAAAAACCACAATGTAAAATCATAAAAAAATGTTTTGTGTGTGTACGTGTATTAAATATATAAAAACCAACAATGTAAAATCATAAAGACATTCTATGTGTGTGTACGTGTATACAAATTTATAAAACCAACAATGTAAAATAATAAACAAATTATATATGTTTGTACGTGTATACAAATTTATAAAACCAGCAATGTTAAATAACAAAAAAGTATATGTATGTGTACGTGTATACAAATTTATAAAAACCAACAATGTAAAATAATAAAAAAAATTATATGTGTTGTATGTGTATACAAATTTATAAAAACCAACAATGTAAAATAATAATAAAAAATTATATGTGTGTGTACGTGTATAAAAATATATAAAACCAACAATGTAAAATCATAAAAGAATTATATGTGTGTGTAGGTGTATACAAATTCTAGAAATACAGTGATTATGTATTGAACTTTTCTCAGTTTCTTTTATATTAGATATGACCATAAACATAGAAATATAGTTTAAATATTCATTTAACTATTTCTTTTAGCACTCAAAGAGATATCAGCCATTCTGGGCAAACAGGCATTACTTCCATGTAATGTGTCTATACCTGAATTCCAAACAGCCATTTCGCTAATCGTGTGGTTTAAAGAAAAATCTGAGACACCGGTCTATACAATGGACGCTAGGGAAGGAAATCTTCGAAATGCTGTTCATTACGTTGGGGATCAACTTAGACCCCGTGCCATCTTTGATCTTTCTACACAACCTCCGCTCCTTAGGATTGATCCCGTCAGAGAAAAGGACTCTGGAATTTATAAATGCCGAGTGGATTTCCGTTGGTCAAGAACAATCTACTGTCAGGTTAAACTGAAAGTTATTGGTAAGTATAACTTGGAAATGCGAAGAACAGTACCTCCAATGAAATATAACAATAGCCGACGTTAAGTAAGACGGAGTAATAGAACAATATTTGTTTGATCATTTTTACCGAAACATTTTTCGAGAGTGAATTTGTTTAATTTTAAGCTTAGAATGGGTCTTTCAAGTAGCTCTGTAAGTGTATGTTAAAGATACATAGTTAACCTAATACAGACAAAAATACGTGTTGAACCTAACGGTGTATAATAGATATCTAAAAACAATAAATGACATGTCTAAATTAAGCGCTTTTCGATGCCACAACTTACCATTCCCTAACACGAAAAAGAATGATTTTTGTTGTTAAGCTCAAAGCTACATAATGGACTATCTGTGCTCTGCCCACCACTTGTATCGAAACCACGTTTTTGGCTTTTTAAGCCCGCAGACTTAACATTAAGCCACTCGAGGAATGGACTATTCTCAAAAGGAAGCCAGAATTGGATGCAAAAATGGTAGATAGAGAGAATTCGTTATCACATTATTGTATTTTTCTGAAATTGAGTTGTATTTATCCAGTTATTCTACATACAAGTTTCTGCTATAAACAAAATATCTGTATCCCACAGTATATCGAAAATATTAATTACGTGTTTATGAACTATTGGACTATTCTCAAAAGGAAGCCAGAATTGGATGCAAAAATGGTAGATAGAGAGAATTCGTTATCACATTATTGTATTTTTCTGAAATTGAGTTGTATTTATCCAGTTATTCTACATACAAGTTTCTGCTATAAACAAAATATCTGTATCCCACAGTATATCGAAAATATTAATTACGTGTTTATGAAGGAAGCAAATATTTATGACAAATTAACCACCAAATGTCCTTATAAAAATTGTATCATTCATATGTTTCAACTACAATCTATGCATTTTGTACCCTATTAAATTATTTTCAAAAAACATGAAAATGTGTACATCTGTCATACGTCATAATTCTTATCAATTAAATTATTATTTAAAGCTCTAAACAATTGCAATTTATAGGGAACATATTAATAAAATAGCTTTGTAATTCGGAGTATGTGTTATTACTTCGTACCCTATATTTCTAGAAACAAAAGTTTTGGTTTAAACACCCCCTACGGCGAATATATTACCATTCTTTTAGAGGGTTTGTTTATATATTTGTCATTCCTAGAAACATGTGCCCAACATAAACAATTAACAATAATATACTGAGTAAATTATTTTGCCTGGTAAAAATAATTGCCAATAACGTTTGATTGAAGTTCACTTGTAGGTTGGTACGGTCGCAAAATATATATTTATTAAAAGATAATTTAATTTTGATTTCCATTTTTCATTATATAACTATATGCCATGATTTAAAAAAAAATATTAATAGCTTAATGATTAGGTAATAGTAAACATTTATCCCCAAGAAAGCTAGAAGCTCATTGGCTTAAAGACTTAAAATGGGAAAATCCAACTTGTTTTGTGTCAGTATGTTGGGCGCATGGTAAATTATATTTGTGCCAATTTTCATCTTGATTGCCGCAAATATGACCGTATAGGAGTGCAAAATATACATTTTGTTTTACCTTTGACCCAATAAAAGCATTAAAAAGAACTAAATATAAGAAACTAAAGGGGCATGTTAAACTAAGGTATAATTCTACCAACTTTCAAGTCAATCCGCTGAAAAATGAAGGAACGGCGATCGATTGAAAAGTGGTTGGAAGAAGAAGAAACAATACAAAAACAATATGTGTCTCTGAGTATGTGCATCTTACATCATCAAAGCTTTTTGTGTAAAAAATCAATATCAAGAAGCTTTGTTAAAATGTCCTCGAACAAATTTAGTCGCCCAAGGGGAACCCCATTCTAAGAATTAGCACAAACTAACTCTTCTTGTTGTGAGGATTTAGCAATTTTTACAAAATATATAGTTAGTCCCCAAATTGTGCAATATTTCAAAGACATTCATTTATAATGAATTTATAGACATAAAAAATTTATTGATCATTATCAATATAGGTATACGTATGGATACTCGTGAATTCCCAAGTAAGTGCTGTTCAGCTGCTTTGAGTTCAATAAATAATATATGAACATATTTTTGATTTTTTTGTTTGTACTTAGAAATTAACTTTGTTACAGTTCACTTACTTTGGTTTATCATTTTTTTACACTGAGGACACAGTGCTAATTTACACTTACTGCCACTATCTGGTTTAGTGAAATACAGAGAACCATTCAAATGCAGAAGCTTATAAGCTATAATATGACAAACGGACTAAAGTTCTTAAACATAAAAATTGACTTTATTGAATAAAATTACTATTATCATCATCTTATCTGTTTTACTGAATTAGTCTCTTCTGATAGCCGAAAAAAGTTACTATAAAAATCATTATAAAATACACGCCTTTCAAGTAATGTAACAATAAACATCTTGCATATTCGTGTATATAAGGCACATTAATACTAGAAATAAACGACCTTATATCACCAAAATGTTATTTATATTTAATTAGACACTCATCGTTTCGCCTTACAGCTTCATCTGGAGCGTTCACTAAACAAAAGCCGAAACTTACAGTACAAAGCTTCATAAGGTCGTTTATTTCTTGTTTTAAGAAACATCTTCTGTTCTGGCTTTACTGAATCAATTAATGAAGAAAGGGTTGGCTACCGTAGATTGCTATTCAACCCTATCTTCTCGCTGTTCTGAAGAGTTATTCTGTAGTACTCAAAGTCTATTCTTGCATATCTTCTATCATTTGCATTCTGTATTTTCCTCTTGTTCCTCCCCCTCCCAATATTTCTAGTAAAATCGTATTTTCCTAACTGAGGTTTCTTACAACGCGTTTGAAGTATTTTGATTTTTCTGGCCATGATGTTCAATAACTCCTAAACGTGTTTCAAATTCAATCCAGCTGATTCTAGGGTTATTCTAATGATTCATGATTCCAAACTTTCTCATGTCTTCCATATCCACTTACTGATGATTCAGGTTTCATCTTCATACAACAATGTATTGAATCTATTAAATAGTATTATTAAATGTATGTCGCAATGAGTGACATCAATTTAAACTTTAAAAATTGTAATCTTAATTTTGATTTTGTTATTTCATTTGACTTAAGACTATGTCATGTAATCCTGTGGATTTTAATTCGATTACAACAAATACCTCATTCCCAAAGAATTTCATGTCATGTAACTGAATAAAAGAAATGTAGAATATATTCTAAGCTTTGGCAAAACAAAATTTTTTATATAGGTTCCTTTCTATTTATTATGCAAGATAAGATAATTTTAGTTCAAGCTCATGATTTGGGGAATGTATTTTTATAGCCTTATTAATGTAGTAACAGCTGTAATAGAAGGTTTCTGTGAAAGTATACACTAAAAGTGATCAAAATAAGCATACACATAGATATAGCCAGGACAAAGTTTAATTTTAAGGATTAGTTCATATAAATAAGAGTGTGAAAACACTTTAGTCAGTTGTTAATAGTACTTTTCATGAATATTTCTATCTTCATGTTAAAATGAAAATAATTATTTTATTTTCAATGATGCAATAATTTCAATTTTGGGGACGCTACTTTTTCAAATAATTATTATATAGATCATCTGTAACACTTACAACATTATAAGGAATGGTTAGCACTTACAACATTATAAGGAATGGTAATTTGTATAATAATGAAATTATACAAAAGAGGAAAGCATAAGTTGCAAAAATGATTTTTTTGTGTTTCTTAGCGATTGTTTTAAAAATGCCATTTTTTATAATGTTGCTTAAAACATTAATAATTGCATCTCACAACTTATAATATATTTTTCCACATTTTTCAGTACCCCCAAGAAAAGTGTTCATTGTTGACCAGAAGGACGAAAGACTGCAAGAAGGAGATACCGTTTCTCTCACATGTGTATCATTGGGTGGTTAGATTAACTTAAAACTCACACTATTTGAATATTCACTTAGAGAACGAAACTCATTATCTGGCTTACTTTGTTCTTCATATTTTCTTATGTAAACCTGAAACGATACAGCTCCTCGAGTGTTTCTTTGCTTATATATTCAGTTCTCTTAGAGACACTGTCGCAGCTTATATAAAATAATGTATGGTTATTTTGCTACACTTTATCTTCCAAGAAATCATGTACCATACGACAACCATGCAGATTAATAATCAAAATAGATGATAATCGAATATTGCAACACAATTATTTACCTATATAAAGAAACGCAAATAATGAATTGAGCTTATATTCAGTGAATGTAGTTCTAAGTGGGCGGAAAGAAAGAGTGCCTAATTTTTCATTTCTGTAGCAGATGATTAAGTCAGTTGTAAGAGAAAATTCATTCTTAATCTTCTTCCTCTCAATCACAATTAGAGCAGAGTGGCAACACAATTAGTGCAGAGTGGCAACACAATTAGTGCAAAGTAGCATCACAAATACCGCAGAATGGCATCACAATTAGTGCAGAGTGGCAACACACTTAGTGCAGAGTGGCAATACAATTAGTGCAGAGTGGCAACACAATTACCGCAGAGTGGCAACACAATTAGTGCAGAGTGGCATCGCAATTACCGCAGAGTGGCAACACAATTAGTGCAGAGTGGCAACACAATTAGTGCAGAGTGGGAAAAGATGATTTCTTCTAAGGTTTTGTTTAAAGTTTTATTATTTAAATAAATATATATATATATATATAGACATATATAAACAGATATATACACATATTTATATTTGCATTTTACTTCGTATATCATTCCATTGTTTAGCGAGGCAACGTTTCGTAAATATTTTATGCAATGGATTCAACAAGAAGGCCCAGACGATCGTGAAATAAAAGTTTTATATCGAACGTTTTGAATTATACATAATCTGTCTTCAGAGATTTTATTTGAAACAATTAAATTGTTATTTGAATTCAACAACTGAAATTGAGAAACGTAACAGAATGTAATGTATATTTATACATGCACATACGACAGGGAGAGAAACCTAACAAAAGCATCAAAAGAATAATTAAGTTAGGCGTGAATAAAATAGAATTGAACAATTAAAACTACTTCAGTTGATAGGGGTTGGCATTGTGATTGAGAATATGTCTTTTTTTTTATTGTTTAGCGGTGTTTCTTTCATTAATAATTCTGTGTCAGATTTGCCTGGATTTAAAATTTTGAAATTATCCAAAGTCGCATGGTGGTTGTTTTTCTCTTTGTGATTATGAAAGGCGAATATGCGCGAATTTTATAGTGAAGATCCGGTTTCGTGGAGACAATTAAGTGTTCATGGGCACGCGCAGCAATATACGGTTTAATCTTTCCAATATACAGTCACCGTACGTGTACCTGTATATGACCCATGATGGTAGTTTGCCTTTACATGGGAATAAATATTTTAACCTGAAAGTGGGTTTAATGAATTAGTCTGAGTTAAGTTGAGGATAGTACCTGTATACTAACTTAAATAAATTTAATTTGAGTGGTAGGCTCTGTCTTGTGGGACTTTAGGAAGCATTAGGTAGTTTGATTTTATAGTTGAACTTGGTATTTAAGGATTTACCTGCGAGTTTAACTAGCATGTTTGAGGGTAGCCATTTTGGTATTTGAAAATCCTTTTAACGTTAGTCACCATTATTTTTAATTGTTTGTCGCTAGATTTCTATAAAAGTAATTAGATCGATTTAATGTTATTAATATTATATTACTGTCATCATACCGCTATGTAAAGAACAAAGTATTAAATTTACATTACAATGAAAGGAAATAATTCCAAGACTTGCATATGGCCGGCCCACCCTATAATCCCCATCGCTTATGTATCATTGCTTCCTTCTTCATACTGCTCACGTCACTGGCTACCACCAAATTTAATTTTGTATTGATACTGTATAATTTTTTGTTTAATGAATAAAATGTGGATTTGACCTATAAATATTAACAGTTTAATCGAAACTCAAAGTAGTCAGACAGACTTTGCTAATAGAGTTGTGTATTTATTTTAGCAATGATTCCTCTCTACAGTATATGATTAAAGGCAATTAAAACATATAAACTGTAATGTTTTAAAACGGATCACAAATCTAGACGACGAATCAAGTACTATAAATGTACCAGAATAGTACTGTTATACCCTTCTGTGGCAACACTGACTGACTTGCTGAGAAGTTGGTATGATGAAACATGACAGTCATGCTTCGTAAGGGTTAACTACAACAGAACATGAATCAAACGTCACGAAATAAATTGTCCTAATTTATACATTTTTTGTATGTATTTAGTTTATACAGATAAAATAATAATTTAACTTATAAAAAGCATACCTATTTTACATGATTTTGATAACAATTTAAGAATAAAGTAAGTCTAGTTCCGTATTGTTTCGTTCAAGTTTTTTTTTTTCCATAGTTGAAGATATAAAATTAAAAGTCCTACTTTTGCGGATATTTTTTATGCATCAGACACTAGATCCAGTGGTAGCTGTAAATTTGAAAAAAAAAAATCATAACGGTAACTAAATTTACAAACTTTTATTTTAACAAAAACCATAAACAGCCGTTAGAATTAGCTAGGTTTTTCAATGAATTGTCGCCAGGTTATTTTGGTCGCTAGATTTAAAAAAGTTCGCTAGATTGGGAACAGTAACTTAAGTTTCAGACTTCTTAAAATTTAAAAATGCAACTAGACTGAAAGAAAGATTATAAGTACCCTCCCCCACCTCATTCAGATTTTAGGGAACGTGCTTGACTATTTTTGTTTAAAATTCAAAATAATATTGACCTAGAAAATCCGGGTACCTTATATTACCATAATGCGCATTATCGTTTAAGCCATCAAAACCCAGAGGAGTTCATTTTAACCTAAATTTGTCATATCACATTGATTGAAAATCTACATTTGTACATCTTAACCTATAAAAAGAGAATACTAACAAGGCTCGTTAGTATGCTAAAATGCTATAAAAATAATTTATTTTATAATTTTGAACATAGAAATCTTATTATTGTGCCAAAAACGTCGATTTCTGTAATTGTTACTCTTAATATACCAGCACAATTTACATTAAAAATAATTATAGAAAACTATAGTTACATTAATATTTCAATACTTATCTAAATAGTTTTAACGTGGTGTAAACCATTATTATTATTATTATAATTACTATATATGATAGTTTAGTTTACGATAATTACAGGAAAACCTCTTCCTAACGTCAGTTGGTGGAGAAATTCTGAGCTGATTGATGATACCTCAACGATAGTTTCTAGAGAAAAAGTTACAAACGAACTGATTCTCCAAGGTTTAAATAGACGTCATATTTCTAGCAGTCTGACATGTAAATCTTCAAACAGCAACTTAACATCCCCTGCTAGCAGTACAGTCGTTCTTAAGATGATTCGTTAGTACCTTATCTATCTTATTTATAAAATACTATATTATGTTTAAATAAAGTATTTAAGACTATCTTTTTAACACGGTAGGCACTAGGAAATCCCTTAAATATATTGGTTCTGAATGTTATACTATTGTTTTATTCAAAATATTCGCTCAAAAGATACAGAATATGTGCAGATATGTGCTATCTGCACATTGTCGTCTCTAAGTTTGAACTGATATTATAAACGAAGAGCAGTTTGTCAACACTAATCGCCCAACTCTAGATTTATTGAATGTATTATCTGCACATTGTCGTCTCTAAGTTTGAACTGATATTATAAACGAAGAGCAGTTTGTCAACACTAATCGCCCAACTCTTGATTTATTGAATGTGTTATTTGCACATTGTCGTCTCTAAGTTTGAACTGATATTATAAA